TCCTATCTTAATTGTGCATATGTTGTTATCCATGTAAAAAAGTAAAGATAAATATGGTTTTGTACATACCTACATAAATACGTTTTTGTGATGCATATATAAAGGTTATGATAGATATTAGTTCTCCGATGTTTTTCGCTCCATAAACTTAAATCACAACTTAAAAAGACTATTGATTACGCCAGACTATAGACAAAACATTGATACAATCTCAATTGGTAAAAGCTGTAGGTTTTTTTTTGAACAAAACGGAAATAAAATGACTTAATGGGAAAATAAACACTAGTGCTACAATTTTGAAAGAGCCAAATGTCCGAGTATCGAAATAGTACCGATCAATACTCGTTGACTACGGCAGACAATGTTTCATTTAAGAGGATTAAGCAAGGAAAGTAAGTTCCAATGTTAATGAAAAAACCTACAAAGACCCTATTATTCTGAAATACTGCCATGTCGGTATTCAAAACTAGACAATCAAATCCTAAATAGTTAGCACAGGAAGTGTCTAACTGCGATGACATTTTGAAAATCACAAAACAGTACATGCATAAGCATGCATCTCATTTTTTTTATTATACAGGTGTGTACTCAGCAACTTATGATTTTTTATTGACATAGCAAAAATATCATAGCAAGAATCCATACAGTCGAATATACGATTTCAAGTTTCGCATAGTATTCATATAAATTGGACGAAATTAAGAACAAAAAGGATTTTCAATTTTTAGATGTCAAAGTCTTATTGCTTTTATTATTGAAAGCCACGGAAAATAGTTTTGAAATAAAGAAATAATAATTGCATGCAATGGATCGTACTGAGGAACGTGATATCTGCTGTGAACATGATAAATCCTGGAATGAAACATTAGTTCTTTTGGAGTTGAAGGGTCATCCCTAAGGTAAACTGGCATATTGAGCAGACCTTTTTGATTGTTACAGAACCATATAGTGTTGAACACCATGGGCAACTTCATAAAGACAAAAAGACAAAACCATACTACGTAAAACATTATTCATAAAACAGACAGCAACATAAAACCTTCTTGTGTGAGCATTGTTAGCTCCTCTATTAGTATACCTCGCACAGCTCATGAAAGTAATATGTGGTGATAATCCACGAAAAAGGCGAGGATGGGATTGTGGCGACATCAAATTGAACATAACATAGTCATCCGTGTAAATTACATTCCTGCAACAATGCAATACGAAGCTCTCAAATATAAGTCAAAACAAGACGGTCGGATCTATTATTACACAAAAAAAACTACAGAGATCGCAAATAAAGTGATTACAAAAATAATCGGATCAAAATCTTGAAAACGCCGCAACATCTCTTGTTTTAAAACGTACAGTTGTAAAGAACAAAGCTAGCAAGAATAATGGAATGTTATCATCGAGAAACCATTGACACCCATTATTTAGTAATGGTTGATATACCCAGCTAACGCCACTATGCTATAATTGCAACTCTACGAAAAACATCAGCCAATTGCAATTTTCCGTTGCAGAACACAAAGTTTAAAAAAAAAAATGTCAATACAGGGCTTTGATTTGAATTTTGAGCAGTATTTAAGTCTTATCAAAAGATCAGTAGTCGCAACATTATAACGATTTTAAGATTTTTCATGTAGATATCCTAGATAACCTCCGAGATGACTCTTTTTAGTATAGATGACATTTTATAAAAAATCAAATACATCAAGTATAAATGTTTCATAGTCTCCGATTTCTGATCTTTTTATGAAGCTATCTTAATAGTCGTGGTTGATTTAAGTCTGAAACAAAAATATGTAGCAATTTTACTCTGCATTTAATGATAACATGAAATCATGATTTAAATAAACCTTAAATACGAGAAATGGCCTTTTTTGCAGGTAATTTGTTAGTAAAATACCTTCAAATATATTAACAAAAATCTGATAAGAAAAATCGTAATATCACAAATCAATGACCAGTTCTAGATTTAAATTTACCTCAGTGAAAAAAGACGGAAGATACCAAAGAGAGAAAAAAAAACTCGTTAGTCGAAGAGAAACCGACAAAACCGCGGCAAAACGATGAAAAGATCTACAAAATACTCACCAAAACGCCGGGGTGATTTCAGCTGCCACGGTAGGAAAGGAGATCCCCCATGACACCCGTCGTGTTGCTCATAGTAATTTGAATACGGCGTTGTCTTAATTGAATTTTAGCAATCGAGGAAAATGTGACGGTAGTGTGGCTACGACAATTGGAACATATCTGTGGTTATTTGTGACGAAGATCTTCCATAAAGGCCAGCCAACTTATGATGGCGTTCGTAAAACTGAAAGGATAACTTCACCTTTATCGTAAACCCTTGGTTCAATAGCTTACATGAAAGCAGCGAAATCATGATTAGGAAACGCAATTTAAGGTTTGGAAAAAGGTTTGGAAAATCGTATCAACTAGGAGATATATGACCCATATACAGATGCTGCTGGAATGTTACAGGATAAGAATGGAAATTGAGAGCTGTAATCATCTGTTTTGTCGTAAAATTTTGTTATAATACGACCCACAATGTCACGTTCTAGAAGTAATTCCAGATATATATATATATATATATATATATATATATATATATATATATATATATATATATATATATATAAGGCAGAACTGTAACTACCTGTGGTATCCGTTATTTAAGTTCGATGGGCTATAGATGAGTTAAACATATAGTCACCAAAATGAATTATTTAGTGAGAGGACTTAATCTTTAATAGAGGAATGTGGAGTTAATGAGTCATACTAGCTTCTTCTCATTCTTCCAGAGAATCTCCTATTTGAAGTCTACCTCATATGAATAAGGAACAAGTCGACAAGAAGATGAGCAAAGTTGGTTCCCATAGGAATAAAAATTGTCTGTTTAAAAAACACGTCCTCCAAATGTAAAATATGTGGTGAATAAAATATTCAATCATCTTGATGATTTCAGTTTCAAAGATATTTTTTTTAATCCGAGTGTTTTTGTCACAAATTTTTGATTTTTTCCCCTCCTAAAACAAGATATTAGTATCTAGGTTGGTCATTCTGTTTTATGAAACAACTTGCAGACTTGTAAATGGCGAACAGTTATTCAAGTTAGACATTAAAATAAAACACATAAAGATAACCAAACAACAACAACAAAAAACCAAAAAATAACCAAAACAACGAACAAACATTCTAACCCCCAAAAAAACAAACTCTCACCAAGAAATATTTATTATCAACTTAAATATTTGTTTGAATTACTTCCCTTGAACCACTATTCTATTTTGTGTTTTCTCCGTGCAACAGGTCATGTTTTGTTATGATTTAATGTGCATTATCATTGATCTTTCATTCATTAACCGCTTTTCATCTTGTTTCTTTTTTTAACAAAATAACATACACAAAACACTTGTGTCATTGTAAAGGGATACTTTGTCAATTTGATTCGCATTGTATTGATCGACTGAAAATGACAAAAGAAGGTAATTCATTGTTTTGATTCACTGTTCTATGGTTTGTGTCGTGACTTCCTTACTAGAACACGAACGCTGTCAGAAATACTATTTTTGTCAAGTTTTTCACAAATAATTGAAGCGATATAGTTGATCATAGTTTTTAGATCCGTATACCGTCGTTCTCTGAGTAGACTTGATCTCCTTTGACCACTTGGCAACATAACTGTTATTGCATGCAGTGCAAGATATGTGAACCCTTCCGAAGATCTGAGGAACATAATCATGAGCTCAGAGGATTTCGTTCCAAAATTGGGAAATAGCATTATTTAACCTATGCACTTATGTATAAGACGGCGCTAATAAGAAAGAGGCATAGAGCCAATTGCCCTCGATTCAACTTCACACCTTGAAGACTTTTAATCTTTACTAAAACTTACAGAATCAAAGCTTATCATGTGTACTTTTGTCATCGAACATGAAACTTTGTTTTAAACAATGACATAATTACTGTTCCTGTTTGAACAAAAATTCTATACCCTTTTTTCCGTAAGGAACAAATACTGTAATATTTATTTGTTCAAATTGAATTGATACTACAGAATATTTCTTCCACAAGGAACTTATTTCATGACACTTTCAATCGGTTTGTAACAACATTTTGACGTGTTGAAACATAAGTGTGAGAAAAATTATCAAAATGCATCACTGAACATTAATAAAAACTACATCATAAATCTTAGTCAATATCGAAGCAGTGATCCCTGGGTGGCGATACCCTCTGATACTTCCACTTCGTCAGCAATGGCACAGACCAAGTGGTAGTATATCAAAGTGTAACGTTCAACTTTCCAGTGCAGCATTCGGTGTGCCTTTCTAGATTGACATCCAACCAAAATTCTCAAACTCAAAATTTGGTTTTGGGCATGTTTATTTACATTAAAAGGAATCTGGGTTTTTATATTTTCTGGAATTAGTTATTGTTGATTGAATAAAAACACTTTTTGATATATCATATGATAGAAGGGGGATCTAGGTGTAAATCTGCATTTAAAGAAAATAAACCTTAGTGTTTATTGAAAAAATTAATATTATGAAACAGTTAATCAATATTAAAGGAGAGTAAAGAGGATCAAGGGGGGGGGGGGGCGGATTTCATTGCTTTCGAGTATGTTTGGTGAATAGAGTTTGGTTTCACTGAATAACTTAGTTGGACGAAGGAAATTTCGCCAGTACATCGAAAACCATGTGTCCCAGTGCAGTCACACAATGATTTCACCAAGTTTTAATTGATTGCCAATCTAATCTCAGCTAACATCTTAGAGGTGGTGTTCCTGTCGGTAAAATCTTGTACTCATTTCACCTATACATGTAGTTTCAAATCCATTTTATGGGCGAAACGTGCTAATTTTAATTCATTAACAGATAACTATATCAAAATATATTAAGTAATAGGACAAAACAGGTACACGTTTTATGTGGTGTATCATACAATAACAATTTAAAGTCACAAAGAAAACATATTTTACAGGGATGAGAGACGTTTCATAGTTATTTCATATACCTTTAAGTCATATTCACCTTGATCCTGGGTATATTTTACACTTGAGTGAAAATAATTTTAAGCAAATTTAAACCCCACTTCACTACTTTTAAATACAAAAGGAGTTGCAAAATGGGATAATCACCAAATGAGAATTGTGATAAAGGACATACCGGCCTAGAGATTTACAATACAATAGTTGACCCGACAGAAATATAAACACCATTCAGATTGGATCGAACTCTAGAGTATTGCAGTATCAATGGGACACCGGTAGATCAATAATATGTTGTATTTGACAAATGTTTTGATGGATTACTGCATCAAATCGTCACAATAGTGAGGAATTAAGAAGACAATGACACTAGAATGAACAATACTTGTCAAAAATGTGGTAAACCAGTATATTTCGGTAAGTAAAATTAGATTTTGTTTAAATTTGGGTCATGTTTACTTAGGTGTGACTTTTATACGGGTGGTTAAAATCATGGAATCGTGTCGGTGAAATAAAAATAAATATTTTGATAATTTTGGCATGTACTTCCAAAGTAAAGTGTGGATCTGCTTGGAGAGATGCGTAGTTGGGGGTTATACTTTGCGGTCCGTCATAACCAGTGCAATTTAATAATTCATTTGATTTAATTTTAATTTGGGAACTTATAGGCGTTAGTTTGTATCTTAAGAATAGAATATTTTCATTACTTATCACAGTGTTTTGAACAGGAATCTTCGGTGTAAAACTATAGTCATTTTATATAACAGTTCTAAGAATAGAACATAGAATAGAAGATCATTTCTGAAAACAAACTATTTCCAAGTTAACCCTATAACTGTCCTTGCTATGCTTATTCACTTTAAATTTGTTATTCGTTCTTAAAAAGACACATTTAAAATTACATATTCGGTTTTAACCTTAATTGAAAAGAAATATGGGTGTGTATACTATAAACAAGATCCTTGAATGTTCAAATGATCCGAGTAAATGATATGGAAACGATCATATGGTCTCATAAAATGTCTCTATTATGTTATAGAATAGATGATGATAGTATAATCTCGTTTAATTTTTAAGGTCAACTATACATGTATTATGAATGTGAGAACGGATGCGAGTATGGGAAGTTAAAAATGTCATATTTATTGGGATGGGTATTTCATATTTTCACTAAAATAAAAAAGCTGTGATATATTTTATCAATTTTCATTCTAGATTTCCCCCTATATCATCCTTATTGTTAAGTAACTTATGCTTCCTTGATAATCACAATGCTGGATTCGCAAAGCAGCTAGGAATATATTTTTTTCTGATGTTGAGGGAAAATCTTATATTTCGTATAAAAGTATAATGGTGTGAAAGGATGGAATATTGGATGTAAAATACTATCATTCATATAAGGTTGAACATATTTCCCATATACTCACAGAGAAATTAAATCAGATATTTCATAAGATGGTCAACTAGAAATGATTCCTGTACATTTGCGTTTTGATATTTAAAGGATAAGACTTATCTACTTGCAATGCACGATGGATGATATTCGATGGACGAAATTGTTATTCCTATATTTTTCAGAGATTTTTTGTTATCACAAATGTTTATCAAAGACATACATACAGTATTTCATAATCATAATCTATTTTCCAAGATTTTTTCCTATACGATATTCAGTCTTCAGCAATAAAATATAAATTAGCGATTTCTTGTCAGTTTAACGACTTTCCTGTCTCGACCTTTACTGGTCTTAATTGCTTCACCAGACTGGACATGGCTTTCATTTTTAAATATGTCATTTGTCTTCATGTTGTTTGTGTTGACATCTGACTTTGTCCATTACTGCAAGGATACATATACAAACTGTCATCTGTGAAATGAAAATGACGTCTTTACAAGTCACCTGTTTATGGAGTTCAAACACTTTTACCTGATGCAGTTTAGGTTAAAGTTTCAGATTATAAAGTTGTTTGAATATGATATGACAGTTTGCCAAAGGCAAACAGATAATATCAAAACTACTAAATTTTATTTAAATTTGATTTATGTAATTCCTTCTATCTTTAACAGTAATGTTAATGGAAATTAAAATTAATCTACCCTCTGTGTTTTATCTTATATACAGTTATATTACAGTTCATATAAAAATTCCCTCCCGGTAATACTGACGTCCATGTGAATTTGAGGTCGAAAACCCTAAATGTTTTGTCCCTCATTATGTCCTATGAGCGATTGTGACTTTTGCAGTCCCCAAATTTCGATGGCAATTAAATTCAATAATGATGATAATAATAACTGGGCACACCGTTCATAGGTTTATTACCGCTGTACAATTTTAATCTATATAAATACCGAATTAACATATTTTGAAATTGGAGGAGTTTCTGGTGCATGGAGATTTGTCATAAGAGAGAGAATTTTGATTAGGATGATCGATTGATCTGCAAACATTGGAACAATCTTTATCTGTTTAATTACAGACCAGTTTAGTTTGTTGCCGTTATATTCTCTGGAACTTGCTGAGGACATCGATGCGTCAATGATAGTCTTGAATGACAAACCATGAATCAGTGTTGATGAGTTTTCTTATGTGTAATTAGTTCAGTAGGACTCGTTTGCTTTCTTTTATTTAAATTTACAAACGACACGATGATTAATTCAAGTTCGTCAGCTTAAAAAGACGACTCAAAACTATTAGTAGTTGTAGACAGTCTCTTATAACTCATGATATATTTTTTTTATCAAACGGCTACCAAAGAGTGATTTTATGGGCTATGTGAAATTGTTACTTAAATAAACTGTTTTATTTCAGCGGAAAGAAAAACCTCTTTAGGAAAGAATTGGCATCCGAACTGTTTAAGATGTGAAGAATGCGGCAAAATATTGTCCGCTGGTCAACATGCTGAGGTAATGAACAAAAACTTATGAACATCTCAAATATAGTATATTGAATATCATATACGACACTTTTTAACCATCCCATATAGAGTATGTGTACATTTTACTTACACAAAAATAACTGTAAACTATAAAATCTTTGTGGTTCTGATATCTCTAGCTTGACAGCGAAGCTGTATTAGTAGTATCTCAGATTTAGCTGGAAAAGGTGCTTGTATATGAACTAAAGCCATTCGTTCTAACCCATCGAGTTTAAAATCTTACTATTTGATATAATTACCTTCAGTGCAGGACACACTAGTGGTATAAGACCTTCTTACTCTTCCGAATCACCTGGTGTAACTCTCAATTTTAGTGGAGTTTGTGTTGATCAATCTTTAGTTTTCTGTGTAGAGTTTTGAGGACTGTTGGCCATGGTGTTGCCTTTCCTTCTTTAACTTATGATTTTGATTGCCTCCTTAGCTCTCTTCTCTTTTATACACCAAAACCTTCAAGTGGGGTAATACATTACGGTAACTTTTAGTGTGTAGTTTTTAGTTTTCATGTTTTATATTTCAAGTGAAGTTTGTACATCTATTTATTGTATATTTTCCTTCCACTCAGGTGGCTTCAGTTACAATCTATTTAAAGTGGTTTGTTGCAATAAAAAGCATGCAACTCATAAGTAGCCGTTGACAGAATTTACTGTTTGAAGTGTCGTGACAATTTTTTTATTCCTAAACGCACTAATGATATTATGCATGGGAAGTAATACAATACCTCATTATACTGCATATTTAGCTAAAAAAATGATATCTAAAACTATACACGTGTGTTGTCTAAAAGAATCTGTTTCTTTTATCATTGTTATTGTCCTATAAACAGATTGACAATTCAAGCGCAGTACAAAACAAACCTGTACTCGTGTGCTAGTTGTCTGCACATTATGTGTAGGTGAACAGAAACTATATTGTAAAGAGAGGCGAAATATACCAAAGGGATATTAAAACTTATAAGTCGAAAACAAACTGGCAATGCCATAGCAAAAAAAAAACGAAACGACGAAACGACAAACAACAGTGCATACACAAAACACAACATAGAAAACTAAAGACTGAGCAACACGAACCCTACCGAAAACCTGGATTGATCTCATTTGCTCCGGAAGAGTAAGCAGCTCCTGCGCCTCATGTAAGTACAAACCCGGTGCTAAATCTAATTCGGTAGGTCACATTCGAGTAAAAGAGAATGGGATTGTAAAATATCAATACTCTGATTCAAGTTGAAAATCTAAAAGTGTCAGACCGCCTTCGTATAACTTGTATGCTACGAGTCCTCGAATGAGTGTGCTTTTAATTTGTTTTCTCTGATTTGTTGCTGAACAGATAAAGATATCTTTGTGGCATCACACGGGAATCGTCTCCATCAATTATTGAATTTCTTTTTGATTTTAAGTAATAACAATATCACAAATACCTGCTGAGTCATCTTATTAATTGACAGTGATATACATAGAATATTGGAAAACATTGGATAAGTATTGCTGCAAACTTAGTGAAGAACATCACACTCACTTAAAAAAATCAATACCGCTATGCAATCTGTTTTTAGAATGAGATCGTTTCGTACAGACGTCTTCTGAAAACAAAGAAGTGAACAAACTAGTTAGTTCTTGGAGAATAACATGGGTGGATGCTTCTCAAAGATTCCATTTATACTGGCTTTACGTTTCTTTCATCAGGTGATACCCTGATTTATAATGTCTTGTACTTGTCAAATACGTAACTGAATAATATGGTATCCAAAAGTCTATATATTTTTTTTATACATTGTTAAACTATTCAATCAAGGTGAACTACTACACAGGTTGGTTCAATACTTTCAGTAGTGTCCACCCTTTCCGCCGATGGATCTACTATGCATGTACATTGTTCTGAGAAATTCAATTGATATACTTATGGTATTCCTTCTAGTAGAAACTATTTGTCATCATTATATCTATTATGATACTTGTTCTTTCTTTACTTGCAGCACGATAGAAAGCCATACTGTCACAAGCCGTGCTATGCAGCATTATTTGGACCTCGGATGATGGGATATGGATACGCATCACCTGCAAACTTCAGAAAAAGTGCCGCATTAGAAAATATAACTGGGAGTATTTACAACGGACACGACGGAGGTTCACCAGTTATGGTTTATGAATTTGGAAATAGCAAAAATGATATAAACATTACTCCACTTCCCAAAAGAACGCATGTGAACAAAATAGACAGGCCAAAATCTCAGCCTCCAATGAAATTAAAAACTATTCCATCGAAAGAGTGAGTATCCTTGTTTACTAGATGTTCAACTCTTTTGTTTTAATAAGTGCATGGAACCAGAGACTTGCATACCAACTAGTATAAGTTATGTGTATATGAAAGGAGAAGTGGTATGATTGCCAATAGGACACCGTATGGCCTTCAACAATGAGCTAATATGATACTGTAAAAGGCTCCGACATGACAAAATGTGAATTAATTCAAAATAGAACATCAAAATATCCTGATTTCTGCTAAAACAATAAACGAAAAACAAGTATCGCAGTCAACAACCAACAAAAAAACACTGAATTACAAGCTCCTGGCTTGGGACAGGCACATAAACCATGTATCGTGAATAAACATGTTTGTGCGGTGCACTCACCTCTCGTCCTAACGTGGGACAGGGGTTAATCAGTACAACCTAAGAACAAATTGTTACATAAAATCATTTAGAAAGGGTTTGACACTTCAGATCGACACGAAATCCCCCCCCCCCCCCCCAAAAAAAAACCCACACAAATCCAAAAAACAAAACAACAACAAATACAAAAATACAAAATAATCATTAAATATACAAATGAAGCCTTAAAGGGGCATTAGCTACGAGATATCAAAAAAAAAATAAAATTAGATTTTTTTTAGTTCAATCATTAATGAAAGTGAAATAGTGAAATAATAATTCGCTTTTAGCAGCCAGTTTGCTTCAATTTTGTCAAAATAAGTTAAAAATATCGCTGATGAATTATTCGATCTCATTGAATCCGTATTCATGCCAACTTTTATTGTCGAGCCTGCGACTTTTGTCGCATAAGCGAGACATAGCGATCCTACATTCCGTCGTCGGCGTCGTCGGCGGCGTCCACAAATATTCACTCTGTGGTTAAAGTTTTTGAAATTTTAATAACTTTCTTAAACTACCTTGGATTTCTACCAAACTTGGACAGAAGCTTGTTTTTGATTATAAGATAGTATCCAGAAGTAAATTTTGTAAAAAAAAAATCCTGTTTTCCGTATTTTACCTTTAAATGGACTTAGTTTTTTCTGCCAGTTAACATTACATTCACTCTGTGGTTAAAGTTTTTAAAATTTTAATAACTTTCTTAAACTATCCTGGATTTTTACCAAACTTGGACAGAAGCTTGTTTATGATCATAAGATAGTATCCAGAAGTAAATTTTGTAAAAAAAAATATTCTGTTTTTCAGTATTTTACTTATACATGGACTTAGTTTTTCTGCCAGTTAACATTACATTCACTCTGTGGTTAAAGTTTTTAAAATTTTAATAATTTTCTCAAACTATCCTGTTTTTTTTACCAAACCTGGACAGAAGCTTGTTTATGATCATAAGATAGTATCCAGAAGTAAATTTTGTAAAAAAAAAAATTCTGTTTTTCCGTATTTTACTTATAAATGAACTTAGTTTTTCTTCCAGTTAACATTACATACAGTCTGCAGTTCAAGTTTTTAAAACATTTATTAGATTCATAAAGTAGGCGAGACACTGGGTTCAGCGGAACCCTTACGAATTTTTTAACTCCTTAGCTAGAGATGGGATACCCATAAACGAGGCGTGTTCAGCTATTAAAGGGAAAAGAATGTCAACACTGAAAGTCAAACGAGCGTAAATCATTTGATTGACTGCTTCGATCCACACAAACTCATTCTTATACAGGTAAAACGAGGACGTCTAACATATTTGTTTCACCTATAATATGAAATCAAACAGACCTAAAAAAAATCCAATTGCACGTGTTCCCTGTCAATTTATATCTATATTTATGTTTATATCGGATTATATGACCGTCGGCAGTCTACGGAGGTCACCTCGATGGTTAATCAGATGGATTCTAGACTAAAATACACACGAAATACGGATACATATTATCGAGTCCATGAATTGTTAATTGTTCATTTTAGACTTTTTGTAAGTTGGATATACGTTTTAGTAGGTTATAAATCAAATATGAGAACTTGACAGCTAGTGCCCCTTTAATTGACAAGAAGATAAACAAAGGTCCCCACAAAACATGCAAAATACAGATCTAAACGGCATTAACTGAAAGCATTTATCTCATTTTTGTATTGCATTATTATATGTCTCTGCTGAATACTAGATCAAAGCCAATTTCAACTACCAAATTCAAGACAAAAATCTCAGGACCGCTGAATCCATGGATTTTAATAGTCAATGATTATAAAATCCTTGGATTCAGCTGGGACTGTTATATAATAGTCCCAGGATTCAGATATTATTTATTTTTATAGGTCCTGAGATTTTAGTTTTGGCAAGGATTTGTATAGTGAGACGTCTCACTATACAAATCCTTGGTTTTGGAAAACATTTTAAACTGAACTAGCATTCAGCAGAGAAATATCCAAAGATTTTTATTGGGCTATTAAAATCCTTGATAAATCATTTTTGATTATTTTAATGTTAATCCAACTTTTTGTGAGCAATCTGGGAACAGTATATCTAACGTCAATATATATGTTCCTGGAGCAATAGCAGGATATTTTTCTTTCGTTTTAATAAAAAATTCAAATTATTATGAATACAAATATGAATGTATATTTATCTCAATGTCTCTTCTCTTGAACGTTGGTGCCCAGTCCTAGTTTTACGTCGTCAGTTTGACGCGGACGTCCTTGAAGACACGTTATTTTTGTTCCGACATTATTGTGTTCAGTTTGAGTTATCTCCCGTTTAACACTTTTTTTGTGTATACACCGGTAATGGCAAAACAGGAAACAACGAAGACGGATATTTGGACACAATTCACAACTTTCTGGCAGGGTTTTTATGACTCTTTGAGCAATTTATTTTATTTCCTTCTTTGGTTCATCTTTGTTCCTGATTCATCTCACCAAACAAAGAAAATAAAGAGTAAAAGACCGATGGAAAGGTGCGTTGTATTATAATTTTGGAAAGAGCCCAAAGTTTGACTGTAAAAGGAAAATAATGGCAGTTGAGTTAAAGTTCATCATAACCTTTTGGTTAATATGGCCGTCTTTACACCACAAATTTTACTCTGAGTACAGACAAACCTGTGCACCTGGAAAAGTTTTAAGGCATGACAGGAACTAGATAAGTAGATTTTAAATGCATTTTATGTTTCAGAAAATTGTAAACTTTTCTGGATTTTGCGATTCATTTTTTTTTCATTCCTGCAGAAGGTGCCAAAATAAACTAAGTTGGGAAAGAGGTTTGAGAAACTCCCCTCATATAATAAATGTTGTGAGTAGTAATGATTTAAATGGACAATAGAATGGCAATAGACATCTGCAAACAATAGGTGATTTAAACTGTGTAACTGAGTGGACCAATCAAATGAAACTCATGTGTTTGTTTATTTTGCTATCTTCTGCAGACTGGAAAAAAATGCACATCAAAATTCAGGTAAGTTTTTAATTTTCTGAAACACAAGACTACATATAACTTTTATATATCTAGGTCCTGTCATGCCTTAAAACTTTCCTAGATGCATCAGTTTGTCTGTACTCGTGGTAGATTTTGTGGTGTAAACACAGCCATTTAAGTTTCATTAAAAGGTTTTAAAAAATATGGCTGTGTTTACACCACAAAATTTACTCCGAGTACAGACAAAGCTGTGCACCTTGAAAAGTTTTAAGGCATGGCAGGAACTCTGCAAATAAAATTTGAATGTATTTTATGTTTCAGAAAATTAAACACTTACAATGTACATGTACCTGGAATTTGAGATTCCTTTTTTTAAGCCTGCAGAAACAAACACCTGAGTTTCATTTGAAATGGTCCACTCATTTACACAGTTTAAATTACCCATTGTTGTGCAGATATCTATTGTCCAGTTAATCAAAACATCTCACTACAATTATTTACATACAATGTAGGTTAACATCTCAAACATTTTCCAAAACTTAGTATATTTTGGCACCTTCTGTGGGATCGAAAAAAAAGGAAACTCAAAATCCAGAAAAGTTTATAATTTCCAGAAAAATAAAATGCATTTAGAATATAATTATCAAGTTCCTGCCATGCATTAACACATTTCCAGATGCACAGGTTTGTCAGTACTCAGAGTAAAACGTGTGGTGTAAATACAACCATATAAGGAAAAAGGTTATGATGAACCTTGACAAAATAAAAAAAACTGATGCTTTTGCTAGAAAATATGCAGAAAAACTTATTGAGAAATATCCTGTCATTTTCCTCAGTCCTGTGTAATTCAATGAAAACTACTCCCTGAATGGTTTATATGAAATTTCACCATCCATATGTTACAGGCTGTTTAAGTCACTCAGGAGAGTTTTTTTTTTAGAAGGAATATAGACCTTATGTTACCATTGTATACTTTCTATGAAAATACTTCTACAACATTTTTGTCCATATTTTATCAAGAAGACATTTTTTTCATCAGGTCAGGACTCTCTTATAAATGAGCAAATGTCCAAAAAAAGGCATGTCATAAAAAAATAATGTATCAGACAATTTGTAATCTGCTAGTGGCTGGTGGACCATGTATGGTCATGCCGAATTATTCTTGAATAATGTCAGTAATGTAACTACCTACTGTATAGTATGATCTAATATACAATTGAAACATTTGAGCACAAAGCAGTACTATACTTTTATTTAAAATTCATGAAAAAGACTATTTTTAAGGCCTATGTTTAGGTGTACTGGGTATATGAATCGATTTTAGATGACCCTAATTTTCAATGTCTATCTCAAATGTGTATATGAACCTCAACCATGGGAATGTTATGAGACTACCAAGAGGACCAAAAGTCCTACTAAAGTTAACCACTCTTAGATACATTTAACTGATTTTCCACTGGACATTTGAGAAGGCAACAGTCAATCGTTCTTAAAATATAGTATCAGACATGCTTAATTTTCTAGTACAACTTAAACTGTTTATACCAGACTAACCTGCATTTCCTGATCTGTTTATAGCACCTGATTTTTAGTCAAATTGATATACATATATGATATATACCCATTTACATGATATAAAGACAGTCAATTCAGTATTAA